ACGGGAGGGGGGGGGGGGGGGAGGAAGAGGAGGCGCTCCGGCCACAAAGCAGCCCCCCCTCCTCCCCCAGCCCGCACGCCAGCCTCTTCCACCACCCCCGCCCCGGCCCCGGCAAGCAGCTCCCCTGCCTGGAGAGCCTCTGGAAGGAGCAGCCTGCCCGGGCATCCTTTTTAGATTGGGGACGGGAGGCGAGGGGGCAGGCGGGAGGGCCCCCTCCTCCTCCCTCGCAGCCCCGGCCAAAGGGACCCGGCTTGGCTGCTGGGAAACTGACAGGTCAGAGGCCTGGATCAGCTGCAGATGGCTGGTCTAAAACCGGCCCTGGGAAGCGAATCGCAGGCCACTGAGCGCGCGTGTCCCGTCCCCTTCTCCTGCCGAGTGCCTTCCCATCCCGTGCGGGAACTCGAGGAGTTCAAAACACGACGCCCTCAGGTTCCCCTCGCCTGGATCGCTCAGTGCGCCGCAAAGCGCCTAGACCTTTTCCCCGCGACCTTTTGCAAAGGAGCGTTATTGCTATTAATCAAAAAGAAAGAAAGAAAGAAAGAAAGAAAGAAAGAAAGAAAGAAAGAAAGAAAGAAATTTGCACGCCAGATTTATCTTTTGGAAAAGCTTTCCATAGAACTATTTCTCATAAGATTTTTTAAAATTGATGGATACTTGAATGAATGAATTTTATTGTTACGGCACCCAACCAGCAGATGGATACTTGTGGGACCATATAGATACGGATAGAGAAGGTCGCCAATTCAGTTTAGGATCAAACTGACTCGGGCTGCCAGTGTTCAAAGCACGGCGTCACATACCAGTAAGACTCAGGCACCGATTCCTAACTGGATTGGTCTAGTAGTCCCCTGGACCTCAAGGGGGGGGGAGAGAAGACCCCCTTCCAATTAAGCGCATTTCTCTTGCGCGGGGGTTGGGGGGGGTGACTCTACATTTCCGGGGGATTCTTGACATTCGACCGGATTCTTTATTCGGGTGCCTCAAATCCGGTTGCAGAGCGTGCCTTGATGGCGGGTGAGGACATTTCAGGTGCTTCTGCACTTTCAAGGGGGACGTTTGTTTCCTTAAACGCAGGTCCCCTCCCCCCCCCCCCCCCCCGCGAGCCACCCCCACGTATGGCCTGGGACCTTTCCTTTCAAAAGGCCAACTGCATTGTACTACCGATCAAACGTGCGTTTTAAAATAAAAACGTGAGAAATAATGAAACCCCCATCCACGAAGTGGTTCCCCCCCCCCCCCCCCATTGCCGCCCTGAGCCAAATGGGTAGGGCGGGATACAAATCTCATAATAAATAAATAAATAAATAAATTGGTCTTGTTTCATTTTGGCTTTTGCGGTTTCTTCGGCAAGAAGTTGGGAAGGTGTTTCTGCCAGAGGCCGGGCCAAACCAAACCCATTCGTTCCTCAGGTCTGCCGGCTTTGCCCCTTTCGAAAAGAGGGACGGCTACTTCTGCACGGGCATTTATCGGAAACCAAACTCTTTTGTCCACACCAGTAAATCAAAGGGAGGGATGGCAGGCAGCGACTAAAATGCACTCGCTAGCTTGGATATTAATACAGTCAGCTAAGAAAAGGGGGGGGGGAACCCCTCTTCGGTCGTCCTGGTTGCTTCGTGCGTTTTCCGTCTTAGCGATGTATTTACATACACGGTGAGAAATGAGCCTAGGCGACCAGCCCCTCGCCTTTAGAACACGGATCAGTCCGTTTTGTTAAAAAAACAACGCAAGTTGGCTCCTCCCCCAACTCTCATCAGCAAGAGCCTTGTAATTGCACCCCCCCAGCC